GGCTCAGCCCGCTAAAATAAGTGACCCAATTTGCAGAGGTGCTGAGCTCCAGTGGCTTCCCTTTCCCCTGCCAGTACCAAATAAAATTGACTCAATTCCTTTTCTCACAGGAAGAGCTGTTATAATCTGAAAGACTCACATGCTTCTTTCCTACCTCTCAGTCAAATACATATTTGTACAGGGAAAAAAAGAGTGAATAAGGGATAGTGTGATAATAAAGATTTCTTTGGTTCCCAGGATTCAAATATCCTATTTTCTTCAGTAGGTTCCAGTGCACATCTAGTTACAAAGTGTTAAGAAACATGCTTCTGTGGGACAAAAGCAAAACAAGATTCATCAACAGAGCCTCAAACTAAATTTTGGTTAATACAAAGGTGACAAGAGGGCATTTAGGGCCTGGTACAGGGTGCTCTGAAGCACCATGTGCCCCCCAAAATAATTACACCCCCGAGCAGTCCTTCAGTGAGACACAACTAAATGAGCTTCTGTGCAGACTAAGCTGTGAACTTTGTTTCAAAATCAGGTATTCTGAACTTGTTAAATGCTGTATTAGAAGCTTTCATCTCCAAGTCCCTGTATGTTCATAGAATATTGCTGGATTTGCAACGAGGGCCCTTGAGGGATCCCTGTATCATCTCATCCTTGCATGTGTTACAACTTACTGCTAGCATTAGCACAGCCCATTGCACCTGAAGTGCTGGCATGACCTTTCAGCAAGGGTTCTGCCCACTCCCAAAAGGCAGCTGCCAGGCTAAGCCAGAGATGTACTGTCCCTCCCACCAGTGCACAGGGTTTGGGATGGCAGGTAGAGCCCCAGCACTCCAACCACACTGAGGTCCTCATGCAGACCAGTGCTGGACTTACTTTCCCCTGGACCCAGAGACCACAGTGCCCTAGGAGAGCATCCTGCACAGGGCTGTGCATTAGGGGCACCCAGCACATAGCCACGGCTGCAGCTGATTATGGCCTGATTAGTCTTAATGACTTCCTCTCTCTAAATGAGCATCCGCAGCTAAAGAAGGAGTGGAAGCTCCTCTCCTCCATCACAAGACACAATGTACTGGGGAGCTTACCCAAACAAGGCAGCTCTCTAGGGATGGTGACTGCTGCTTCTTCACTTCCACCTCCCACCTCACCCATAGTACCTGGATGGGACCCCTGGAATGGCTGTCCTCTGTGTTTCCCTCTCATGCAACCCCCTGGGGGATCCTACTCCCCTGAGTACAGCCTGAAGCCAGCTGGAGGGTCCCTACCAAATCCCTGACATTGGTCAGGACCAGGCTCAGGCAGGTCCCAGCCACACAAAACCCAAAACCATGGGGAAAGAGCCAGGTGGAAAGCGTAGCCATGGACGCATGGGGTGCAACCCTCTGGCAGCGGTGAAGGCAGGTGCTGCCACAGCAGAGGCTGAAGGTCTTCCTGTCACCCCTAGGTTCTTCATGAGGAGCCATCTCTTCCACATTAACTACATCCCTGCTGAAACCTGCCTGTGCTTGGCCCTGGCTGCCTCACCCTTGCCCTCTCCTCCTGCAGCAACATGGCAGGGTCACATCTTCCCATTTTTAGTGGGTACTTTCTTCTTCTTTCACGTGTTGTGCATAGGAGGTCTCTCCCACCTATGTGGCTTCAGACACTGCCTTTACAGAAGCAGTTACATCTGTACTACAGCCAGTTTGGACACCAGGTTCCAGCACCTCTCCTTGTGTTGCCCCCAAGGTCCCTCAAGCAGCTCGACATGCCAAAACCAGCAGCTGGGTGGGGGTCCTGGGCCACGGTCAGCACATGTGTGTGGGCTGGCAGGCAGTAGTTGGTAACCTGGCTGGAGAGGTGCTAAACTCAGGCCTTCAACTCCCCTCTGTGATTTCACTGTCATCCATGACCATTTTGATGAGAAGTATCAAAAGGGTCAACAAGCACAAGTGTACAGCCCCTGTCTGAGGAACTCAGATGCTCAAGTCTTACATTTGCATCAAGAAATCAAGGAGACAAATGTCCTCAGCTGTCCCCTCCTGTATAAGCTTGATGTTCATCCCACAGGATGCTCACCAGGCAGCTGGATGTTAAGGCATAAGCCTCCTCAGGAGACACACAAGGAGAGGGAATGACTTTATAAAGCATTAGCTGGGGTTTGGTTCCAGCGGGGTGTCAGGAAAGGAAGGTCAAGACCATCAGAATATTGGCTGCTTCCCAGGTCTGTGGGGCAAGGGGCTGAGTGCAGAAGCAAGGCTGGGTTTAGGGAAGGAGAGCAGCTCAGTGCCTGGTTATAGCAACTCAACTGGGTGATGATGGCAGGAGCACCAGACGGAGATGCCCGAGAAACAAGCTGAGAGGTGAAATCAGATGGAGGGAGATATATTAGGAACAGACACGCAGATTTACACATCATGAGTGAGGAGGTGACAAATAGGTCTGTGGGATGGGACTCAAACTCTCACAATGAGGGAGTGGAGTGTGATGAGGAGTGTTGGAGGGGGAAGACCCTCCCGGGACTCCCACTGGTGGGAGAACATGCTGGAAGAGATGCTAGAGGTGGTTGGGAGACCAGCAGGACCGACCACAGAACAGAGGCCGAGCAGATAGACAGGGTCAGGGACAAACACCACATTCAGTGTTGGAGCCAGACATGAAGGGCAAGTTTCACTACAGTTGTATCTACATTTAGGTTGCCAAAAATACCTTTCACAGATTGGCTGTCTTTAATTAAAAGGATGTCTCCTGTGCTGCTGGCACGATGCAGAGCTCATCCTGCCACGCGGGGCTCCGCGTGGATGCTCTGCAGGGGAGGCTTTCCCACGGGGCAGCTCCTCTCTGCCTGCATCCTCCCAGGCCCTGCCAGCACGGGACAGGCAAGGCAGCTGTGCTTCCCCCAAATGCCCCTCCACAGCACAGACACGGAGCAAAACTTCACCCCTTTCCTGTTTTGGCTTTCCTTCCCTCCAAACACAGAGAACGCCTTCCTCCTCTCTCCTCCTCCACCTTGCAGTGCAAAGATTTTAGCTAATTTCTTCTATGAATAGCACAGGAGTAGCCATAGCAACATCACCCTGCCAACCTCACCACCTCCACTGCCTCTGTGTCCCCAGCACCCTGTTCCTCTCACCCTCCTTCACACCTCCCCAGGCAACATCTGGGGCTTCAGCCATTTCCCACGAAGCAACCTGCTTTTGGCTTCCAGCCTGCACCCTCCGTGCTCTCCCTCCTTCCTTTCAGTCATCCCTGTTCATTGCTCAGCAAGCCAACCTGGACCCTCACAGCTCTCCTAAGGCCACTCAAGCCCACTGTGGTCTGGACATCTGCAGGTGGTCATGGACTCATTGCAACGCTTCTCTACACCCCTCCAACTTGTCGTCCCCCCCCCCAACTCTTCAAAAGGGACAAACGGGCTGCAGGAACTGGGGACAGCAGGACATTGCATTTCTGGCCAAGCAGGGCCAGCAAACCTGGGGCAGCCCAGGGGGCAGAGGGTACTTCTCAACCAGATGCTGGGGAACTGCACTGCCCCAGAACCCTTCCCCAGCCATGAGAGGAGGTGCCCATGCCCCAAACACTCCAAATGCACATAAAAACAGTGGTGAGACCCTCAGGAGCCTCATGGGGGGCCACCCTCTGTTCACCATGCCCAGCACTGGGGACCTTGGGGCGAACTGAGCAGCAGAGCTAGACCTTCTCTGCAGGAGGGAAAAGTGGCAGCTGCTGCCAGACCCTCAGCACAGGGAGCTGTGCTGGAGAAGGGGCTCAGGCATGGCTGGGCAGCTCAGCGCTCCTCTCTTGAGAGCCTGTGGGCATCACTGTGCAGGGGAGAGAAGGGGTTTGAGCACTTCAGTCCTCTACTGCTGCACATCAGGGATGCTTCCCTGGATCATGCTGCCATTCCTCCCCCAAAGCTGGGAGTCCTCCCCTCACCCCAGTCTGGCAGGGGAGGACTGAAATGCCCCACCAGCAAGCGAGGGGTGATGAGCAGGGTGCCGGGCCAGCTGGAGAGATAGTGATAGGAACAATGGAGGACAGCAATGACAGCAAGCGAGGGACCAGGGACTAATGAACAGGGGACATGGATATAAGAGGGAGAAGAAACAGAAGAGATCTCAGAGGGGAGAAGAATAGCAAAGCAAAAAGAAATGAGAAACCCAGAGCTTGGAGATGTCCTTCCTCTCTACAGTCAGGATGAAGGGTTTTCAGTTACTGGCACTGCCTGAGCAATCTAATTTGTGTTCTAGAGAAGAGGCAGAAGGAGGGAACCAACAGGGCACTGGAGGTGGAAGGAGGTGTGGGCTGATGTTGGGACTGTTGTCTCCATCGGGCAGCACGTGTGGGCACATCTCCCACGCCGTGGAGCTGCGCACGGGGCCTGCGAGCGCGCGTGATGTCAGAGAACATGCAGCGCCACACGCAGCCCGGCGCGGCCCCGGTGCCCGCGCTGCCAGGCAAGCGGGCGGTGCTCCCGCTCCTCAGGGTGCCCAAAGGAGCCAGGGCAGACAAAAAGGCTGAAATGAGAGGAGGTGAAGTTCCCAGGAGGTGAAGAGATCCCTGCTTTCCTAGCAAAGCCTCCTGGCCTGTGCAACCCTTCCCAGTTCTGCTTCTGGAAGTGCTTCCAGGGGCGCGGCCCCGGTGCCCGCGCTGCCAGGCAAGCGGGCGGTGCTCCCGCTCCTCAGGGTGCCCAAAGGAGCCAGGGCAGACAAAAAGGCTGAAATGAGAGGAGGTGAAGTTCCCAGGAGGTGAAGAGATCCCTGCTTTCCTAGCAAAGCCTCCTGGCCTGTGCAACCCTTCCCAGTTCTGCTTCTGGAAGTGCTTCCAGGGACAGGGAGTTCATTTAGAGGGGAAGCCCTAAGAAATGGCAGCCCTGCCACTAGCTGAGGCTCTTGAGGATGTGAAGGCTGCCTCCTCAGCTCCTGCAAAGGCCAGCTTCACATCTGCAGCATCCACCCAAATCTACCCAGAGCCCAACATCTCCCAGCCTCACAGAGCCAAACCCATCTGCCTGGGCACAAGCCATGCCCCACCTGGTTCCATTTCACCGCCATTCGTCCCTCTGTTCCTCACTGCACTAGGAAGAACGTGGGATTCCTGATGGCTCAGGCACTTTGCACCCTCAGATCAGAAGGGGAGCATTGCTGAGGTATTTGCTACAAAGCTTTACTCATTGCATGCATTTGCTACACACCAGGGAGCAATCCTGCCTGCTCTCATCCAGGCAGTGCACATACCACACGTCATATTCTACATGCAGACCCCTCCAGCCTCACGTAGCCTCACACGCTGGCATCCTCTGTCACTTGCAATGCCTCAAAGAGCTTCTGATTTTTTTAATATATATATTTTCCTCCCAACTTCAGAAAGCCTAAGGCCGAGTAGAGATTCCCAACGTGGACTTTCAGAGCAGCCCAAGCCCCGGGGCTCCATGGCAGTACCACAAAGAGACAATGATTTCTCTTCCACCACTGAGAAAAATATGAAAGGCTCCCCTGGCCAGCCTGCCATGGCAGCAATGCAGCTGGCATTGCTTCCTTCCCAGCCTGCTTGCAATTGTCTTACCAGGAGCCCTGGGCCAGACCTTTCATGCAAGTAGGAGTGGAAAGGATGGAGCAGACATGCTTCAATTCCCTGCTTCTACTCATCTCCCTGAGCTTGCTGCTGCTCTGGGTGGAAGGAAAGAGAGTGAAGGGAAGATGGAAGAATGCTTGCCAGCAATCAGCAGGCAACAGTGAGCCAAGGCTGATTTTGATGCAAAGAGTGGCAGAAAAAAGAGACAGAAAGCAGGAACAGGCTGATAGGAAGGTGGCTGGGTTTTTGGGTGCTTTCTGTAAATATAATCTGAGTAGATCAGCTTTGAATCTAATTATTTCAATCAGAGATACGGTGAGACAGTAATGAAGAAAAAACAGGGGAAGGGAAGAAAAGGGTTGTTTTCAGAAGGTAAAAAAAAATGGGAATGAATTCCCATTGATTCCCATGTGTCTGCCTGCTACAGCATCTTGAGATAATTAGAAGGATCAATAAGAAATCATATGAGGTTTGAAGATAATGAATGAAAGAGGTAGAAGCAACAAATTGAAATACCTTTCTGTAAAGCAGGGTAAATTGTTTTTCAGGCAGGGTCTAGCCTCCATTTTAATGCTTTGCAAACAGCTCCAACCATTTTCTAAGCTGGCTTGTGGGTTCAAAACAAGACTGGTCTCTCCATTTAGGGGAGAAAGAGAGACATAGGCTGAGAATGGGTCCTGGAGGAGAACACTAATCAAACGAATGTGTGTGGGAAGAAATGGAGGCAGTGAAATGGGGCAGAAAGCACACAGCATGCCAGCGACCAGAGCAGGGTTACGTAATGATCTCGGGGAGCAGGGACGTAGCAGCAGAGCGAGGAAACCACAACTCGATGGAGAGAGGGTGCCAGTTTGGGAGTGCTGGCAAGTGGCACCGTGAGCCTGAGGCTGCCCGGAGGGGCAGCACGCCCCACGCTTGCTCAACACAGGATGATGAGATGCCCTCAACGCTGCCAGGGCTTCAGGAAACGACATCGTAAGCGGTGAGAAACTCGCGTGGGGTTGTCCGTAAAACATCACGCCCGATGCCCGCCTTGTGCTCGGCGGCTCCGATGCAGCGCTCCTGAGGCTGGGCAGGACCACGGCGACCAGCCCGAGCAACGGCGATGCCAACCTGAGCGGTGCCGGCATCCAGCCCCAGGAACGCCGGCATCCAGCCCCAGGAACGCCGGCATCCA